AGCAAAAAAGCAGCTTTGACAACAAAATGATTATGTGAACAGGTAGGTACATTGTGCAGTAGCTCGCGGCTCTTATCCTACCGGGTCAGTCATTTAGTCGCTGCGGATATGGCCTTTGAGCCTCTTTCTTCCCCTAATGACTCAGCCTGTTTTCAATGGCTGCTCCCTCATGGGAAGGAAGATGACAGAGGACATACACAGTAATCAGAGAAATTAGTTTTGGAAGATCATATAATACCAATCCTAATACAAAAGGACACAGTTCAAAGAAAAACAGAGTCTGGTGTTTCTTCAGGGTCACTGACAGAGGCCCTGGACAAGCAGTGTCATAGTGAACCTGGAGTGTTTTAGAGAATGCAGCAGAAATGGCCCCCGTACATTAAATGCCTCAGATACCTAAACCAAATTTGAGGTTTCTTTGATGCATTTACTTCTCAGTCTTTATTCCAACACCAAATCCTATTCTTTTTCCTGAAGCTTCATTGATAACAATTTCTACCCCTTTACTCCATTTCTGTCCAGGATGCAGTTCAGTGACATCCTCACTGCTGTTTGCCACATCTCTACAAATAGACTCCTGATCTCTGGTAACCTATAAACTTCAGTCCAGTCTGTGTGCCATTGCCAGATCTGTCTTTCTAAACCACCATTTATTTTAAAAACTTGTTCCAGTCTGAGCGTGGTGGCTCACGCCTGTAATCCCAGCACTTTGGGAGGCCAAGGCGGGCAGATCACCTGAGGTCAGGAGTTCGAGACCAGCCTGACCAACATGGAGAAACCCCATCTCTACTAAAAATACAAAATTAGACGAGCATGGTAGTGCATGCCTGTAATCCCAGCTACTCAGGAGGCTGAGGCAGGAGAATCACTTGAACTCAGGAAGCAGAGATTGCAGTGAGCTGAGATTGTACCATTGTACTCCAGCCTGGGCAAGAGCAAGACTGTCTCAAAAAATAAATAAATAATAAATTTTAAAAAAACTTGTTCCATTGATAACTCTTCTGGTTGTTTAATCAAACTAGGTGCCTCTCCATTCATTCTTTCCCACCAATACAAAAATATGCTTTGGTTTCTCTTTATACTATAGCATAGTAACAGTCTGTTCCCTTGAGCATATTGGCTTCTCCAGCTACTGCTGTACTTACCTCTTCTCTAGCCCCACTGTTACCAGAAAGGAGAACTGATCCATACCCCAAGAGAGGTTCTTGACTCTTGCACAAGAAAGAATTTAGGGCGAGTCCAAAGTAGAAAGCAAAAGCAAGTTTATTGTGAAAGTAAAGGGATAAAAGAATGGCTATTCCCCAAGCAAAGGAGCCCTGAAGTTGCCCTTCAACTTCAAGTTGTCCAACAATGCTGGTTGCCCATTTTTATGGTTATTTCTTGATTATATCCTAAAAAAGGGGGTGGATTATTCAGGCCTCCCCTTTTTAGGCCACATAAATTAACTTCCTGATACTGCTACGGCATTGGTAAACCACCATGGCACTGATGGGAGTGTAGCAGTGAGGACAACCAGAGTTCACTCTCATCACTATCTTGGTTTTGGTGAGTTTTGGCTGGCTTCTTTACTGCAATCTGTTTTATCGGCAAGGTCTTTATGACCCGTATCTTGTGCCAACCTCCTATCTCCCCCTGTGGCTTAGAATGCCTAATGCAACCCAGTAGGTCTCAGCCTTATTTTACCCAACCCCTGTTCAAGATGGAGTTGCTCTGGTTCAAATGCCTATAACACCACTACCCTGATCTCCAGAGGCTCTGCCTATTGAGACCATCTGCCTCCTACTTGTCAAAACCAATAGCAGAGATTCCATTCTTCCTTTCTGGGATCTTCGTGTAGCTTTTAACACAGATAACCTTGCTTTCCTGTAAACTCCTGCTAACTTTGAGATTACACTCTTGATTCCTCTCTCCCCTTAAATTTTTATTTTCTGCCTTCTTTTCTGGCTTCCCTTTTCCTGCTACTCAAACTTACCAGGTTCCATCTTTGGTGTTAGTGTCATCTTTCCTGGTGCCTAACCCAATACTGTTCCTTGCACATAGGAGCCCTTCAATAAATGCAGGTTATGATTTACAGATTTTTTCACACAAATTTTGTGATTTTTTTGCAATTTTGTCATTTGTCTATACCAAAGTTCTCTGCTGCTTGCAGGATAAATTTCACTTTCCTCAGCCTAGAATTAAAAGCCTTCTGCCATCTGTTCCTCCCACCCATTATACCTCCCCATCTCTAGGCTCAGATTTTGCTCAAGTAGTTTCTTCTTCTAGATATACCCTCTTACCCTCTCCCACCTTCGTTCCTACACAAAGCATCTCCAACCTCTACAAGGGTTCAAATTCTTTTTTCAAAGGCAAGCCTGACCATCCAAAATTACAGCCATTTTTCCCCCCTTAAGACTTCCCATCTTTTCTATAACTCATTTAGATGCATACCTCCATGGTCACTTAACTGTTTGGGGAGGGATCTGGGAAAGGAAGATGGGTATACATGTATGGAGTGGGATGGTGTTTGGGGGTGTGAAGGAATGCAAGTGTATGCATGCACATGGGCCTGTGCTGAGCTTCTTAAGGGCAGACTGAACTCCTTAACTGCTTATGGACACCTATTGTCAAATATAGCAGCAGATATCTACTTGGGGCTCAATACACAGTAGAAACAGATTTTAAGCCGTCAATCTTTACTCTGTGTGCTTCATCCTGAAGGTATTAGAACTCCCGCAAATCACCACATACGCCCCAATACAAACCTTTGAGTATGCCATGTGTGGCATGAGGTCCCGAGGAATTAAATCATCCAATGACTTCCTCTCAAAAACTAACCCATCAATAGATAAATGGAAAAACATATGGTATATATATATGCAATAAAATCTTTTTCGGTCATAAAAAGGAATTAAGTTGACAATATATGCTACAGTGTGAATGAACCTTGAAAACATTAGCCTTAGTAGGCTGGGTGCAGTGGCTCACATCTGTAATTCCAGCACTTTGGGAGGCCGAGGCAGGTGGATCACTCAAGGCCAGGAGTTCAAGACCAGTCTGGCCAACATGGTGAAAACCCGTCTCCACTAAAAATACAAAAATTAGCTTGATGTGGTGGTACACACCTGTAGTCCCAGCTACTTGGGAGGCTAAGGCACAAGAATTGCTTGAACCTGGAGGCAGAGGTGGCAGCAAGCCAAGATCACACCACTGCACTCCAGCCTGGGCAACAGAGTGAGATTCTGTCTCAAAAAAAAAAAAAAAAAAGGAATGAAAGAAAACATTATGCTTAGTGAAATAATCCAGACACCAAAGGACAAATATTATATTATTCTATTTCTAAAAGCTACCTGGAAGGGGCAAGTTTAGAGACAGAAAATAAAGTAGAGGTTACCAGGGGCTGGAGAGTGGGAGAAAGGAAGAGTTATTGTTTGACAAGCATTGAGGTTTGGTTGGGGATGTTGAAAAAAGTTTTGGGTATTGACAGTGGTCATGGTTACATAACATTGTAAATGCATTTAGTGCCACTGAAAGTATATTCACAAATTACTAAAATTATAATTATGGTATGTGTTATATATATTGGTTATAAAAATATTATATATTAATGATATATAATATATATAACACATATTTAATATATAATTTAATATACAATTATACATTGTATGTATATATACACACACACACACACAAGTAAAATAAGTAAATGAATGAATGAATGTCAGCCAGGCCCTGTGATGTGACTGTGGAGAAGGCAAGCTGCCCTGTTTGCCTGGCAACCCACCTCACATCCTCCCCTAAGGACTGCAACACTCACATATGACCCAAAGCAGCCGAGAAGCAGAAGGTCTCACACTATTTCTCAGTGGGTCGGCACTTTGTTTGGCATCCCTGTAGGCAATTCCTCCAGAAAACAAAATGCACTAGACCCACAAGATGCACTGGAGCATCTCAGAAGCTAAGCTCCTCGTCAGAGAAAAGAGAGGATGTGTCACAAGAAGGCTTTCCTCTCTCTTTTGTACTATGCCATCTTAAGCAAGAACTCTCTTCTCTGAGCTTACCTATGGTACAGTGCAAATACCTGCCTTGCAAGACTACTGTATTCTTGTGTAGCTAAAAAATGTATGATACATCAACTACTTGTAATGGTGTTCGGTGCAAAGCAGACCCTCAACAATGGTAGCTGTCATTATTTTCATATTATCTTTATTTCACAGCATTATACTTTCTATAAATGAAGTTCAGAGTTATCCTTTCAAACGCCTTCAAGAAAATGGAAACTTCTTCCCATTGCAAAATCCCCAAGAAAAAGGAATTGTAAATTTATCAGAGATTTGACAATACTACATCAAATTTTATATATATATATATATATATATATATATATAAAACCACTGGCTAGCTCTAGCAGCCACAGAGAATGATAAAGGAATGAACTTAGAAAAGCTTCCAAACTATTGAACCTTTAAACTCACTGAGCAATGAACTTTCCTAGCACCTCTAAGCTGTGCCTGTTTCAGCATTTCTGAAGAGCAGAGCGGCTGCACTACTATAGTTGGTGATACCATGACTAAATCTAATACGACACACCAGAAAACGCCATTGAACATGAGGAAACAGCACTGATGATGCCCTTGAGACTAGGCTCTCAAATGATACGAGTGATTTCTTCCCGCGGCGGGGGAATCTCATACATTCAGGTGGGTGTATGTGTGATGCAGCTTCAAGTAGAGATGATGATGGAAATTAGAGGTGAGAGAATTATTAGGTCAGCAAGCCCACTGCAATAATCAAGAAAAGGACTTGAGGTAATTCGATCTTTAAAATGAAACATGTAAAACAGGAAAAGTAGATACTGCTCTATGCTGAGCACTCACAGAGTAAAGTAAAGCAAAACACACATCTTCAACCAAGAGTTAGTCGTAAGATGTGGAGGGGTGGGGGTGAGGCCAGAAGATTTTTCATCTTCAAGAGGGAAGGGCTTCAGACTTTCCTGCAGCAATCTTCACTGTGCACTTTACCTATGCCATGTCTGCACTCAGCTTCAGGACAAGTGCTGACAGACCAGAACCTCAGGGAAATGAGAGTAAAACATTTGGCATGTGGTGGAATGCTGGAAAATAATCATTTATTGAAGGTCTCCAAGAAACACTGGAGAGGCCATTTACCAAGTAGAACAAAAAACATTTCCCCCACCTGGAGAAAGTACAAAGATGTTGCCTTAGGTCCTTTATTGTGTTTTGTGATCAGTGATATCCAGATCCCATCAATTATACAATCACATCTGGAAGACTGGGTGGATTATTCCAGCAACTTAAATCCTCTCTGGACCTTGAAAATATCTGAGGATCAAATGAGAGAATTTATGATAATTTTTTTCAAAACAGCTACATGTATTTTCTTTATATCGTTGATAGAGTCTAGTTCAGTTATTTCATAAGCTACTCAACACATTTGGTAGTACAACTTTCACATAATCAATGATGGAAGCAGGAATACGATGAAAGATTATTATCAGTTACTATTTGTACTACATAGTTCATATAATACATACACATCTAGGTATACATACAAACATATACATATATGTATACATATATACATATATATAATTGCAGATTCTCCATAAGCCAAGCATTTCTAAATTTTCCATGTGTATTAACCTGCTTAATCCTCATAACTCACCATGAAGTGGATACACTGTTAGTGTCCAAAATCTACAGATGAGGAAACTGAAACAAGAAGTTTGGAAACGTATGCAATATTCCCTTCAGAGCCCATTTGGAAGACAGGCAGTCAGGTTCCAGAATCCATGGTTTTTTACCAAGAGGAAAAACCAATATATAAAAAGCACACTTATCCACAGATACGGCACTTTGGCCTGGGCAATTTTTGTTTGTTTGTTTGAGGCAGTCTTGCTTGGTCACTCAGGCTGGAGTGCAATGGTGCAAGCACAGCTCACTGCAGCCTCCACCTCTGGGGCTCAAGCAATTCTCCCATCTCAGCCTCCCAAGTAAGCTGGGACTACAGGTGTGGTGTCACCATGCCTGGCTTTTTTATTTTTTAGAGACAGAGTCTCTGTATGTTGCCCAGGCTGGACTCAAACCCCTGGGCTCAAGGGATCCTCCCACTTTTGGCCTCCCAAAGTGCTAGGATTACAGGCATAAGCCACTACACCTGGCCCATTTTCTTGTCTAAATTAACACGGAGCAAGCCTTTCATTATTCACTGAACATATTCAGCCAACTGCAATAATTGTTCAAACAAAGAATTGAAGGAAATGGTTCCAAACTGAAGCTAGTTTGGAAAATCTGGAGCAAGATAATCCACTGAGGTTTGAACATATCATATTAAAGATTTTTTTGTGTGCCTTTAATGCTGTTTGGATTTTTCATGAGCTGTGAAGACTCAAGGGAACAAGCCAAAGTATCGTTGCAGAAATTCTGAATACCACTAAAATGAGCTGTCAAACATAAATCAGTATCTAGCTATTTTTCGACCTATTTATAAAAGTACAGCTGTGAAATACATCTAAAATACAAATCTGAGTACATTTATCTGAAGATGGTACTTTTAGCAATAACCTTTTCAAACAAACAAATGCTGTCTGTCAAAAACAAAATAATTGCATTGTGTCAAAATGTTGGGGGTGAAGTATTTAAGTTCCCTGTGTAGCTGGTATGATAGATCGTGGAATTTCACCTGGTGTCAGCTTCATTCCAGCTGCCCCAGGGCTTAATGCTGGCACCAGCCCAGGTCTGGTTTTTGTTGAAAGAAGAAGAAATGTGTCAGAACCAAAAAGGATTTCTGTATTTCCAGTGAATAATCTCAAAGTTTCTAGGATTTCATGTTGAAGATGAATGCAGACTCTAAAATTACTCTAGCATATGTTCCATATCATTTTCAGAATTGATTTTGTTTTCAAAGGTACTAGCCTCTTGTCCTGGAAATTAGACAAAAGCCACATGTTCCCAATGCCCTTTTCTGTGTTCATTCTCAACAACTGTACATTAGTTTTATTAAGCAAAATCAACCAGGAAAAATCATTACAAAAAGAATTTTCAGCCTCTTTGAAGCTCAAGATTTATAGAAAAGTAGATACATGCCAGAATCATATGAGTTCTGAGCAAACGCAGATGGCCCCTATTGGTATTGTTTCATTCGACAACAATTTTTGATCACTGATTCATTGTCATATCCATCCAACTGGAAAACTCCAGGCCTTTTGTTTAATTACAGCCAACAGCCTGATGCGTAGAAAGACCTGATTGCTGATTATTAAAATGCATAGTTCTTAAGTAGAAATTTGGGATAATCTAAAATAGAAATAGATCGCTGAACTGCTTTTAAGGAAAAAATGTCACACGTGTTTTAATTTTTAAGTACAGAGAAATTCTGAATTCGCCACCAAAAAGAAAACACTGCATTTGAGAATGGCAGCATTGGAAGTTCTGTTCATTTAAGCTAAACAAAGTCTTGATTTCAAGCAATAAAACATGACTAGATTTTATATATTTATAATGTAAGGAATATAAGTAGAAAATACTCTTCTAAAAAGGACAATATTCATATTTATTGGTAAAGATAACTACTTCATTTTAGCATGATGCTGTATTCCAATACCTAAAAAAAAAAAAAAAAAATCCATTATTTTCTGTTATAAGCAAAACCAAAGAAAGGTCAAAAGGCTATTTTTGAGCACAACTCTATTTTCTGTGGCATAAGGATGTATGTTACTGTAGATTTTCACAGCCCACTCTGTAGAAAGGAGTTCAAGGGCACTTCATAAGTTTTTGAGTACTCTGGCTTTCTGCAACCTGTGTGCAGAATAGGAAGTCTGAAGGGTTCAGCATATACCTGTCTGTAATTAGTGTTGTTAGCCATCAACTGTATCATTCTATCTAGTGTACTGGGTGCTTTGCACATCACTTCCAATCTAAACAACCACCTTTTCAGATTAAGAAACTAAGACAAAGAAATTTATTACACTTTAAGTTTTGGGAGACATTTGCAGAACATGCAGGTTTGTTACATAGGTATACACATGCCATGGTGGTTTGCTGCACCCATCAACCCATCATCTACATTAGGTATTTCTCCTAATGCTATCCCTCCCATAGCCCCATACCCCTCCGACAGGCCCCAGTGTGTGATGTTCCCCTCCCTGTGTCCATGTGTTCTCATTGTTCAGCTCCCACTTATGAGTGAGAACATGCAGCATTTGGTTTTCTGTTCTTGTGTTAGTTTGCTGAGAATCATGGTCTCCAGCTTCATCCATGTCCCTGCAAAGGATATGAATTCATCCTTTTTTATGGCTGTTTAGTATTCCATGGTGTGTATGTGCCACATTTTCTTTATCCAGTCTATCATTGATGGGCATTTGGGTTCATTCCAAGTCTTTGTTATTGTGAATATTGCTGCAATAAACATATGTGTGCATGTGCCTATCGTAGAATGATTTATATTCCTTTGGGTATACACCCAAGTAATGGAATTGCTGGGTCAAATGGTATTTCTGGTTCTAGATCCTTGAAGAATCACCACACTGTCTTCCACAATGGCTGAACTAATTTACACTCCCACCAACAGTGTAAAAGCATTCCTATTTCTCCACATCCTCTCCAGCATCTGTTGTTTCCTGACTTTTTCATGATCACCAGTCTAACTGGCGTGAGATGGTATCTCACTGTGGTTTTTATTTGAATTTCTCTAATGACCAGTGATGATGAGCTTTTCATATGCTTCTTGGCCGCATAAATGTCTTCTTTTGATAAGTGTCCATTTATATCCTTTGCCCACCTTTTGATGTGGTTTTCTTGTAAATTTGTTTAAGTTCTTTGTAGATTCTGGATGTCAGCCCTCTGTCAGATGGATAGATTGCAAAATGTTCTCCCATTCTGTAGGTTGCCTGTTCACTCTGATGACAGTTTCTTTTGCTGTGCAGAAGCTCTTCGGTTTAATTAGATTCCATTTGTCAATCTTGGCTTTTGTTGCCATTGCTTTTGGTGTTATAGTCATGTAGTCTGAGAAAGAATTGTATATATACAATTGCTCTAGAGCAACATGATGCTGAAGAAAGTCAGCAGGCCCCAAACCTATATTTTTTTTTACTGTGACGCAGACCTTTTTTTTTTCCTGAATCATATTCCCCCCGCCACCAAGGGTCCATCCACAGTGGCCACCCTAATGCAAGTCACTCAATATTACTTATTATAATTTCATTTTTAAAAGTCATAAAATGGTGTGATGAAAGTATATTATAGCTAATCAAAAATTTCTAGTGTAAAAAAGTTAGGTAAAGAAATAAATAACTTCAAAGAATTATGGAAAGAAAACAGTATTCTCCTAAACTGCTCCCCCTTACCACTACAACTAAATACCATATTAAAATTAGAACTATTGTAGTAAAAATTTCATTGACTTTGGATTTTGTTCTCTTAGTTTAACCAGGAATTTAGAGGGAAAGGAGGTCTCTGAAAGAGAGCTTAGATATTTTCTAAAAGTGATAGAAGTTTCCTTCTGTTACTACAGTGTACCAATCCTTTGACTCATTTAAGTGATTTATTCATTTAAAAATGCATGTCCCTTGGAAGGCAGAAAACACATTTACTAGATCTATGCAGCAATGTGAAATGTGTATAAGTTTAAAGATGACGGCATGTGGATGTATACATAAGGTGATTTTATAAAAGTACACAATTTGAAATTTTAATGGAAAGTTTTTAATATTACTGTTGATTTTACTCAATATCTGCTGTCAGGGAAGTGTAACTGATTCTTTTTGTAAAATATATACACAGTTTGTGTGGTGTTACTTTGAGATGTTATGAAGTTTTTCCCTAAATTATAACAATTTCATTTTTTTTTATCATGTTTTCTTCCTGGGTGATTTTATTTCAAAGGGTTAATGGTTCGTCCATGATATCCTTTTAAGAGAATATGAGTAGACTGGGATGAATTACTTGGCTGCATTCTTAAAACCCACTCAGACTTTAAGAAAAAAAAAAAAACTGGTCCTACATAAACCTGCCTCCTCATCAAAACCACACAGTGAATAAATTTAGGATTGTGTTCACAGATGGCAGTTCATGAAATCACTCAGCACCAAGTGCAGAATGTTCTCAATGGCTTGGAAAATCAGAATGAACAATGCATCACCAAAGATGGTAGTTGTGCTGGTCTAGATTTTTGAATTGTATAGTATTAAAAACTCTACAAAATAGGTTTGCAAGAGATGTTTACAAGTTTCTTTCATATATTGTATTTACATTTTAAAGTTTCATCAGGAATTTATAAATATCCTATGTTTTTAAACCCCACCCCGACCCCCAACACAGAGGGCCTCCCTCATAGGATGGAAAGCAGAGGTTTCAATTTCACAGCTATGATGTTAACCATGAAACAGGGCCTTCTCTAAGGGAGACACATGGCGGTGGACTTACAACTGATATACTTACCATTTAGGAGTGAACTAAATGCTAGATAAATGAAGGCCATTCGTGCTGTTGTGGGGTTTAGGTCAGCTTGGTCACTTTTTATTACATTTTAAAATAACATTCTTATAATTTGCATTGAGGGTTGATACTATCTATGTGGACATGTGGGAGGCTGTAAAAGACAAAGGGAAACATTCAGATTCAGAGTTGAAAAAATTTTTATGTACACCCTATATATATCTAATTCTAAGCCTATTGGGTAAAAAGTCACATACTTTATATAGAAAAGTTATAAACATTTTATGAATAAATATGCTTAAAAATTAAGTTAGTTTACACTTTCCGGATTGTTTTCCTTTCTTTTCTAAATGCATTTAGGATGAAATCTCATTTGAACATGGACTTTCAATAGTGAGGTTAGTCCACACAATAAGGTTAATATTAAGAAGAGTGAATAATAGCCAGGTAACTACAAATAACTAAATTCATACTGTTTTGTTGCTGTTGATTTTTAGAGATAGGTTCTCACTCTGTCATGCAGGTTGGACTGGAGGAGAGTGGCGCAATCATAGCTCACTGCAGCCTCATATGCCTAGGCTCAGGTGATCCTCCCTTCTCAACCCCCCAAGGAGCTGGGTTTATAGATGCATACCACCACGCCCAGTCTAAATTCATATGCTTCTAAAAACACCTGCACCACATGCCATGAACTATTCTAATCATTTTATATTTGCTATTTCTTTTAATACTGACATAACCCATGAAAAGTAATATGCTTATCCTGATTTTACTATTGAGGAAACCATCTTAATGCAATGAAATGACTTTTCTAACAGCATGGAGCTCTTAAGTGGCAGAGCCAGAACTTGGATCCAATTCTGTCTCAATAAAAGCCTTTTCCCTATGCTGTATTGCTTCTCATAAATGTCCTACAATATATATATCAAGCCTAGAGCCACTTTTTCATTATAGGATATATTTAAAGTTGAAGAATTTAGTAGAATCTTACCAGATCTCCAACATTAACTAGCTTAGAGATTAGAATTTAACCACAGACTATAAGGGAAAATTGCAATTTAACTTAAAACCACAAATATCATACAGAAATAAAAATCTGTTCATAGCCTGAACTGAAATCTGGGCCTTACTTTCTAGGAAAAAAAATTATAGATTTTCTACATGTTAGCCACGAGTCAACAAAACATGTCTTATTTTGAAGTGACTCACACAGTATTAACTTCAGGTATGGTACAAGTTTTGACTAAGAATATAACACGCTGAGGTGAATACGTGAAGAGACACGTAGCTCATGGGGGGAAAGCGACCTTTCTTTCAAAGCTATCTCCAGAAGATACCATTCACTCTGCCTGCCCTCAAGGAGCAATTAACTCTACTGTTTATAGTAGGAGAGTTATACTCTAATGTCATACCTGGAGAACTTTGACAGCAGGCAACCATAGCATACACTCCCCATACCCTTCATCCCCCATCACCTCTCTCTCCTCCTCCAGATTGGCTATGAAATATGTGGGGACCAGTACAAAATGAAGATGTAGGGTTCCAAGTTCAAAAGTTAGTAAGAATTTCAAGACAGCTAGAACAGAGCATCAAGTTAAGTATATTAGTTCATTTTCACACTGCTGTAAAGAAATACCCAAGACTGGGTAATTTATAAAGAAAAGAGGTTTAACTGACTCACAATTCTGCATGGTTGGAGAGGCCTCAGGAAACTTACCATGATGGGGGAAGGGGAAGCAGGCACATCTTACATGGTGGCAGGTGAGAGAAAGAGCATGTAGAGGAGGAACTCTCCAACACTTATAAAACCATCACATCTAGTGAGAACTCACTATCATGAGAACAGCATAAGAGAAACTGCCCTCATTATCCAATCACCTCCCACCAGGTCACTTTCCTCAATATGAGGGTACCATGGGGATTACAATTCGAGGTGAAATTTGGGCAAGAACACAGAGCCAAACCATTTATCAAACCAAGCATGAGGCCTTCTGAGCACAGGGCCTCAAGTGACTGCACAGGTCTCATATCCATAAATCTGGCCTTATTCCCCTTAACACACATTCCTATAGACACATGTGATGCCTGCTGGCCTGGGGTGACCTTTATTCCCTTTCAGTACTGCCTTTGATGTTTCTTTTGTGTTTTTTATCTGGATAATATTGTTGGCAATATGTGCCTCCTAAGAGTAGGTTTGGTGTCCTCACTCAGCAACTGTCCCATTTGGCTCAGGATGCTCTGTCTTCAACAGTCAAGGCCAAGAACTCATTCTGACATCACAAAAAATGTGTGACATGTTATCCACAAGTTGGTGATGTAGTGTAACTACCTGAACTGAACTCATGGAGATAAAGTGCTCTTTCTCAAGGTACGATTTCACTCGAAGCATACATGATTCACAAATATGCAAATTTGCCTTTTGTTTGCTTGTTTTCTCAAAACCAAACCCATTTATAACAAAAGATACCAGTACAATATGGCTATTAATTCTCTTCCCTTCGTAAGTTCAAAAAAATGCCACAGAATGTATTTCATCTGCTTAGCCCTCTTTTTGTGTTTCAAAGGCTCCCCACCAGTAGAACCACATGATCATTTGCACCATCTGTGCATCGAGAGAAACACATTATTATCCAAGCCAATACTGAGGGTATTCTATCAAGAAAGGAACCCACTCATCAGAGAAAGGTTATGCAGAAAAGCTCCTGCCAGAAAACTGTTTCCTCCTCTCTCTCTCTCCCTCATTTGAAATTCATGAAGATGAAGTGCAGCTTTTGTTTCCCATCAGTGAGATGAGCCTTAATACACTCTTGCCAAAAGCAAGCTAACACAGAGTAATTGTTTTTCATCTAAATTGCATGTCCAACCTGCTTAGTCTTCAAAGAACATAGATGCTACAGCTTTGATACCCAACTGCAGAATGACAAAGGAGAGGGCACAAGGCACATGGGCACGATGAGAATTTTTAATCACCCCCTATCTGTCAGCAAGCCCTGGAACTCTGGGGCAAGAGAGGAGAGTAGATTATTCGCAAGGTGGATAAGGTTCCATATTTCATTCAAGACCAACTTCTTTTTTTTAAGGGAGAAAAAAGTGATTTAGAGGGAATTAAGATTCCCCAAGGTGTTTTTAATCTCTTTTCACTCCAGGGCCAGGTGCCTCATGTAGCACTTAAAAGGGTTTCAAAAATGAAAGCAAATGCCTAGAACACAGAAAAAGATATCCATCTACACAAAGCATCTGCCTTTGTTTAAGAAAAAAGTAGTTTCAGCTTTATGAACTTCACATCTAGACATTTTATAATTTTGATGTTACAGTTCTTATAGACTTTTTCTCCATGAACACTACATCCAATACATAGAGGCAAAAATCATTAATATGTAATATTTTTTAATATATCAAGTCTCCTTTACGTCAATAAGTTCATTTAATTGCACATAACTGCAGAGTGTTTGTGAGGAAGTCTATGTGATGTGAATAAAAACTGCCCAAAGAAATGGAGTGAACAAATCTGCATCCACTACCATCTTTTGCAGGTGGAGATACTACCTAAAAGCTGTGTGGCTCTCATCATTGATCCCTGGGCCTCATTTTGTAACCAGGTGCTGAGACAAAAGATTTGATTCTGTTTATTGTGTTTGTTCCACTTAATTTAATTCTTTTTGCCTGGTTTAAACTTCTATTTTCTAATTACATTCGTAAGCTCTACAGGGACTGGAGTGCTACAACACCTTTGCTTGCACTTAGAAAATGTGGACATAAACCAAATTACTTCCACAGCTGTCAGTAAATTGTGCTACTGTCCTATATCATCTAAACATTAGAAATTTTTGACCGCAGGCAGCCCAGTGATAGAAAGTATCTCCCAGCATGCTACCAAATAAGAGGAGACAAGCAAGTCCATCGGGCTGTGAGTGTCAGAACAGAGGAAAGTGCCCCAGTTGGAGATGGGGGTATTAGTGTCAGTTCCACCGCTAAAGGAGCTGTACCGCTGAGGCCAAGTCATCTAAACCCTCAGGGCCTCAGTGTTACCTGTAAATTGAGAGTCTCGAACCATCTCCAAGGTTATTCTTTCAGTGCTAAAAAGTCTGTAATTTCAATTTCTGTGCTTTCCTTTCTTAATAATCAATTTCAGTTTTGGAACCGAAAAATTTTCCTAAAGTGAAAGTTTTGACCAAAAAAGCCAACTTAGATAACTTTTACAATGAAGATGATACCCTACCATCATTAAGGTATTATTGAACCCTGGAAGCACTGACATTATGTAATGACTTTGAACATAAAATGACAGTTTACAATGGTCATACTGTACATGTGTTTGTCTAGATACAGACTGGAAGGAGGGATCTTGGATATAGATGTTTACCTGAGACCTATTAGCTGGCCTGTTGTAACACATTTAGAAATGCTGTAAGAAATTTTTGTGAAACTACCCCATGATTTTGAAGCTTGATACTACACCATCAAGATCCAAGTATTTCTCAAATACCCAACTCAGCTTATGTATTCATCAGGAAGTTGAGACTCTGTTGTATTTTTTTTAAAAAAAACAGTTTAAGCAAATAAGGGTGTTTACTCACTTACATAATCTAAATTTTCAGGGGTCTCACTAAGTTTAGACATGTCTAAATCCAGACACTCCACATTGCCAGGGCTTGGTCTCTGACTCTTGACTGTTTCCTCAAATGATTGCTGCATTCTTAGGCAGACTTTTTGTATACAGTGACAAAGACAGCCCCTGGCACCTCTAGGCTTAACTGGAGGGTAGGCAGGAAAAGAACATACACCAACTACAGATTAATTGATCTCAATAAACCAGAGTAAGTGAAGCCAGTTGGTATTATCTAGAGATTAGAGAGCTAAGCTGAGAGTTTACCAAGGAGGCAATATTCTCATGGCATCTCATAGGGATGGAGTCTCCATTTAGAGTCTACTAAAATAAACTATTTCATTTTAATACCAACCTCCTCTAAGCCTGATACAATGATATTTTTAATGAATATGGTCACAAAATTCCTTTACTTTGCCTCAGTTTGCAGAAAAATAAATGATACAAACTACAAGTCAATAAGTACAATGAAAAGTGAATCTTTAGAAGTCAAAGATTTTAGTTCTGACTCTAGCAGTTTGAAAAGTCATTTAAACTCTCAGTTTCATCACCAGTAAGATGAAAGTGCTGAGTAAAGTAACCTAAGGCTTGTTTCAAGTCTTGAAATGTGAATCCATGTAGTGCCGACCTGGCTATTTTAATGTTTCAGGTTTGGGTTTTTGCTTTCTTGCTACCATTTGTTCCTCGACAAGGGAAACCTAATCGCTCAGAACTCTGAGAGACACTCATCACTAAATAGGTCAAAAACATCCTGCAAGAGATGAAAGCATTCACAAGTTTTGCAGAAGGTAAGTAGATAAGCCAATAGCCCATTATCTTGAACACTTTGGCCTTCACAGGAAAACAAGCAAGCAGTCAACCCCAGCTTCAATACAAGCTGAGTGCCCATGTATTGATCTTCTGTCTGACTGGGTCATGGGAGTGCTGGTGTATATTAAGTAGAAAAAGTACTGAAAATTACATTAATTCAAATGGCTAAATCAATATTTAACAATGCAGTTAGTGGTAGTTGACCTTAAATGCACCTTTAATAAAACAAAGGTGATTCAGGCCAGCCTCCAGCATATGCCATTCAGAAATATGAATTAATGCAGAACAGATATGTTAAAGACCTTTACGAATACAGATGCCTTTGCAGCTTGGTCCGACTGCAAGGAGAAGTTCAAAGCCACTGTCTTAGCACAGGCAATTCGAATTTTATTCGTGTGATGTTGTGTCTTCATTTATCACATTCTCCCTGTCTCAAGAATCAGACAGCCTTGATCTCAGCACATTTAAAAGCAGAAAAAGGATTTCTACAACTATTTCCCCAGCAAATTATTAGTAAATCTTTTGTGACAGCTTTGTAACCTTGAGCACTTTCTTTATAAGTAAACATGGATGTTACCAGTTGTTACTCTAGGAGCCCTATCTTACTATATGATTTGCATATATTTGCATATAAACATATCAGTTAGTACTCCACTTGCATTAAAGATTATTGAAATAAGCTTGCTTATATTAAAGAGAATGCAAAAAAGAATAAAATAAGGAATAAACAGGCAATCTCGTTAAGATGTCAGAATCATCTCAGATGCTATTAGCTATTATATCCAGCTTACAGGTGTGAGACTTTTTAAAATTGCCTTGCCGTCCATAAAATACCTTAAGCTGTACAGCATTTGAGTTATCACTGCCAAGGACTTGGTGACAACTCTAAGGGAAAGGTCAATCTAAGAATCTATTTCAATACACCTAAGGCAGCAGGAGACTCTGTGGCATTCCCAAAGGAGCCCAGGAAAGTTTACCTGATTTTGTGACCTAAGATGCTAGTGCCAAAGGCACCATTTCCATTGCATCCTGGTTTGGCTGCAAGGACAAATGTGTGATAATTAGAAATCTCTCCTGAGACACTTCCCTTTGATTTGCTGTTTGGTGATGGCTACAGTTTCTCTGCAGCCTTGCTTCTCTCAGGTCTGTCTGCTGGTTACCATGGCAATGTGGCTCAATGTAGCCTATGAGCTAAATCAGCATTCTGCAGTATCCAAGCTGCTGGCAGTAGAACTTGAGAATTGGGCAGAAAGTTTCCAGGCTGAATGTAAACGCGATTGCTTGAAAATATGATCATACACTTGAATGGGAAAAGGGACATTCCCCAGAACAAGATCACAGTTTACCATCAAGGATATGGAATAAACACCCGATCTGCCTTAGAGCCAGCCACAAGAGTTCTGGGCAGGGAGAGGGTTGGCAATATATGTTAGACTCTCTGGCTAATGGCACAAAGATAGCCAAGCAACAGCTTAGCTCCTAGAAAGTCCCTCTGCCTGGGGCATTCCACATACAAACCATTAGGCATACCCTATTTTTCAGTCTCTTTGAAGGGTCAAAATACTCTCTGAATTTAAGAATAATTGTAGACTAGTCATGAGAGAGGATGTTTAGAGTGTAAGAATGAATTCTCACCTCCAGCATGGGTTTTGCGAAAGCAAAAAGAGTATTTATTTTATACTCATCCTGGAGTTAGGTAAAGGAAGTAGAAAGTTAGTCTTTCGTCTTAATTATCATGTCTCCTAGGGTCATCATCCTTTACTTGTCAATCTAAATCCAACATCCACACAAAACTATGGAGTCCAGGTTATTTGCAAGTTTCCTGAGATATGTATTATGTCATTTTTAGGATGAATACATCATATGTCACACAAATATGTGGATTATATTGAATTAAAGATTAATAATTATTTACCCATATATTTATCATACCCTTTAAGAACCAGATTGTAAATATCTTTGAAGCCCTAGAACCTCCATGTTTAATTCCCCTCCCCTGCCACCTATTGAGGTGACCTTTACACTGAACTCTTGTGTTTATTGTTGCTTATCTTGAAAGTTTTATCACAGATGTATGTGTTTCTAAACAACAAACCTCTAGCCACACAGATCAAAAAAAAGAAGAAGAAAACACAGATTACCAACATAGAGGATGCCAGGGGATATCACCAGAGACTCCAGAGACATCTATAGTGCATTAAGGAAACACTATGAACAACTCTAAGCCCATAAATTTGACAACTTAGGTGAAATGGTCCAATTCCTTGAAATATACGAACTACAAAAACTCACTGAAGAAGTAATAATCTCAATTATCTTGTATCTATAAACAAATTGCATTCTTTGTTTAAAACCTTCAAATAAAGAAAACTTTAGAGCCACACAGCTTCACTAGCAAAATCTACCATATATGTAAGGAAGAAATAATAACAACCCTACACAATCTCTACCAGAAAATAGAAGAGAAGGGACCATTTTCCAACACATTGTGGATTCAGCATTACCTTAATATCAAATCCAAAGGTATTACAATAAAACTATAGACACATACCTCATGAATATAGATTTTTAAAAGTACACAACAAAATATTAAGAAATCAAATCTAGCTATACATGAACGGAAAAATACATCATGAGCAACTTAGGTTTGCTCTAGGGATGCAAGCCTGAATCAACATTTGAAAAAGATGACAACGAATGTTGGCAAGACAACTGGAAACTCACACATTGCGGTTCGGAATGCAAAACAGTGCAGGAGTACTAGAAAATAGTTCAGTAGTTTCTTATAAAGTGAACCCATATACTCCAGGATTCTCACTCCTAGATAGGCACCCAGAAAAATGAAACCCTATGTTGACACAAATATTTATGTAACTGTTTATAGAAAAACTGGAAATAAGCCCATGTCTTTCAACACAAAAATGAATAAACAAACTGTGGTACATCCTAAGGAACAACATTCAGCAACATAGACAAATCTCAGACGCATTGTGCTAACAGGGTTTCTAAACCTCGGCACTATTACACTTCAGGCCAGATAAATTTGTATTGTGGGGAGCTGTCTTGTGCATTGTAAGGTATATTTGCAGGCATCACTGGCCTCTACCCACTGAATGCCAGTTGTCTCTCCCTCCCTATGCCAATTTAATCAACCAAGAATGTTTCTAGATATGGCCAAATGTAAGAACCACTGTGCTAAGTGATGGAAAGAAGGCTGGCTCGAAAAAATACGTACTGTATAATTCTATTTGTACATTCTGGAAAATGCAAAATTCTAGGAAAGGGTTGGGAATAGGATGAGGGTTTGGGTAGAAGGCACAGTACAAACGAATGTGGGGGAAATGGAACAGTTATGTATCCTGAATGCAAAGGCTGTTACACAACTCTAGGCATTTGTCTGAACTGTATGCCAAAAATAAAGCTTTAATTTTACTATAAGTAAATTTTTAGATGTTTTAATGTAAAAAAAATTTATAACTCAAACACTTATATGCTTATCCTGTTTAAGAAATAAAATACTAAGAATATCTTTGGTCAGCTGGGCGTGGTGACTCATGCCTGTAATCCCCACACTTTGGGAGGCCAAGGCAGGCGAATCACAAGGTCAGGAGATCGAGAACATCCTGGCTAACATGGTGAAACCCTATCTCTACTAAAAATACAAAAAAATTAGACAGGCATGGTGGCGCGCGCCTGTAGTTCCAGCTACTCAGGAGGCTGAGGCAGGAAAATGGTGTGAACCTGGGAGGTGGAGCTTTCAGTGAGCTGAGATTGCGCCACTGCACTCCAGCCTGGGCGACAGAGCAAGACTCCATCTCAAAAAAAAAAAAAAAAAAAAAAAAGAATATCTTTGGTCTTATCCCACTCCCCTGCCACCCATGGAGGTGAAGCTTTACAATGAGCTTTTATGTTTATTGTCCCTTGCTTTTCATTAATGCCTTACCACATATGTATTATGTCTAAACAATATATTGCTTCTTTATAAGCTTTAAATGGAAAATGTTATATTTGAAAAAAAGTTTTGTGTACTATTGAAATTAAGTTGTTATTAATCCAAACGAGATTGTTTTAAGTTAAGATGATAATTTTAATCCCTGGAAAAACCACTAAGAAAAAAACTTTAAAACTATAGCAAAAGAAACAGCAAGGAAATTTAAATGGCGCACAAGAAAATATTTCTTTAAAACAAAATTTATTGGTAGAGGACAGGTAGTAGAGAACAAAAGGCAAAAGATGTGCAGATAAATAGAAAAATGGTAGCTATAAATCATTCCTTATTAGTAATTACACTAAATATAAATGTATTAAACACATGAATTAAAAGGCTAGAAATCGGAATGGAATTATATAAAAGATTCATCTTTTGCAATCTACAAGAAATATACTTGAGATTCAAAAACTTGAGTAGTTGAAAGTAGAAGAACAGGAAAAAACACACCATGCAAACATTAACCAAAATAGGGCTTGAGTTGATATACTAATATTAGTCAAAATATACTTTGAGACAAAATTTTTAAGAGATAAGTAAGGATTTTTATAATAAAAGGGTCAATGCATCAAAAAGAGATAACAATTATAAATGTATGTGTACCTAACAATAGAGGCCCAAAATACAAAAGGCAAAAGCTGACAGAATTGAAGGGAGAAATCAATAATTTGACAATAGCTGGAGACTTCAAGACCTCCTTTCAACAATGGATAGAACTAGGCAGAAGTTCAACAAAAATAGAAGTATTGAATACCACCATAAAACAACTAAACCTAACACATCTGTAAAACATTTCACCAAACAGCTGAGTACATTCTTCTCTAGTGCACAAGGAACATTCTCTAGGATAAACCATATTTAAGTCAGAAAATAAACCTCAATAAATTTTCAAGGATTGAAATCATGCAAAATATACTCTCCAACCACAGTGAAATAAAAATTAGAATTCAATAACAGAAGGAAATTTGGGAAAGTCACAAATAGATGGAAATTAACACACTCATAACCAGTAAGTTAAAAGAAAGACCATGAGAAGTTAAAAAAAATACTTTGAAAGGAATAAAAACAAATAGTATCAAAATGTATAGCATACAGCTAACACAATATTAAAGGCAAATTTATAGCTGTAAATGCCTGTTAAATAAGAAAAAAGATAGCAAGTCTATAACTTTGTTATGCATCTTAAGAAACTAGAAAGAGGAGAGCAAACTAAAACCAGAATAAGCAAATAGAAGGAAAAATCAGAGCAGAAAGAAATGAAGTAGAGAAAAATAAAGGCAGAAACATCAACACTTCACAAACTCTTCCAAAAATTAGTAAAGGAGGGAGTATTTCCCAATTTCTTCTATGAAGCTAGTGTTACTCCGACACCAAAATCAGACAAAGATATCACAAGGATACTATAGAACGATATTGCTCATACAGACACAAAAATCTTTAACAAAATATTAGCATACAGAATCCAGCAGCATATAAGAAAGATTATAGAGCATGACCAAGTGGGATTTATCCCAAGAATACAAGGTAGGTATAACATATGAAAATCAATAAACATTAAATATTTACAAAAAAAGATTACATAATTATCTTAATAGAGGCAAAAAATTATTTAATACAATCCAAAACCCTTTCATAATAAAACTGTTCAAGAAATTTGACAAGAAAGATATAAAAGATATCCATACTGTAAAGAAGATCTTATTCACAAATGACATGATATTGTATAAAGAAAAGTCTAAGATATGCATTCAAAAAAATATTAGAATAAAGAAGTTCACAGAATTGCAGGATACAAGATTAATATGCAAAATCTTATTTCTAAACACTACAAATAAACAACTCAAAAACAGAATTAAGAAAACAACTCCATTTATAAAAGCAGCAAAAAGAATTAAATACTTTGTACTAAATTTAGCAAAAGAAGTGAAAGTCTTGTACATTGAAAACAACAAAATTTAAAAAATTAAACACCTAAATAAATGAAGAGACATCTCATGTTCATGGATCAGAAATTATTACTGCTAAATTATCTGTATTCCCCAAACTGATATGCCAAGTAAATGCAATATCTATCAAAATCCTGGCTGTCTTTTGGGAAGAAATTGGAAAGTTGATTCTAAAATTAATATGGAAATGGAAAGGACTCAGAATAGCCAAAACAACCTTAAAAAAGAA